GTTCATGGATACTTTGGCTGTATTTCACTGCTGGTTTGATCTGCCTTAATTTTTGGAGTCTTACATCCATCTTGTAAGGAAAACTCTATACAAAGTGCAGTGTATATTGCAACTTATGAGAAATATCTGTGTTATGATTCACTTTTTTAACTTCCTAGATGTTTGTAACAATCCATACTGGGAATGGGTTTAATAGAAATCATTGATTATGTGATGACATATATTATTCTATGATGCAGAATCATGACACAGTTCTAGTAGAGATATTGATACGGATCAAGTTCTTGCCTTTGGAAATGACTTTAACTTAAAAACTACAAAGTATAATTGTTATTTTTGGGACTTTTTTTTAATAAACATGACTCATTTTTTAGTGGGAGGGACCATTAATGACACACTCTAAGGCCCATGTCAAAGCCTTTCACCATGTCATCTAGGAACTCTTTATCCATTCTCCTGTGTTCAGGTCATTAAGGTACTGTTTTCATTGGGTTTTGTGGATTCATTTGTTTTTTTACTTCCAAAATCATTGTATTGTTTCATCCTCACTGTAATGATGTACCAATCCTAATATGTACTCCTGCCTGAAAATGAGACCTCTCGTTACTATGGTTGAATGAACGTATTGTCAATTCAATTTATTTTAAAAAAGGTGTTGAAATAAAATATAAAGTATATATATTTAAGAACGACATCTAAAGTTCTAGAAAACAAAAGGTGAAATGACATTAGTATTTGGCCAGATTATCATTGAAAATATGCAAAGAAAAAAAGACATAGTTTGGCTCTGTGAATAATAATTGCCTAATTGGGTCTTTTTTGGGATGAGGGAGTATTTGTTTGTTTCTTTGTTCGAGTCTGAAACTAAAGCCATACTTGTGCAGATTCCACCTGATGATATTCGATGGATAGGTGATGATCCAGGTATATCTCGTGGAGGAGGTAGTGGCCAAGGTACCGTGCTAAGTCTCCGAAGGGATGAAGGTGTCTCAAGTGACCAATACCGTAAGGAAGTTCGGCCCCAACAGAATGGTGGGCTTGTGCAGAAGGCAGCTAGTGATGAAATTGAAATATTGCACACAGAAACTTTGATAAAAAAGGTATGAATCCAACGGTTACCATTGTTATTAGTTTTAATATATATTGTGCATGCAGATGTTGAACGTGGAAGTATTTAATGCACCTACAGGTAGAGAGAGTGATGGATGCTAATCCTCCGAACCTCATTGAGATTCAGAAGGCCAAGAAGATGCTGAAGGTCAATAGCTTAACTGTTTTCGGCTCTATGGATAATTCCTTCCTAGTATCTCATTCATTTCTTAAGCATCAAGAGATCGGTTGTGCAGGATCATGAACTAGCATTGATGGAAGTGCTTGCCAAGCTAGCTGATGCATGTGATAGAGGAAATGGTATATTATAACCTTGTCCATCCCTAGTTTATCTTCCATGTTTGACATTGCACGGAGCTGAAGAAAAGAAATTTATTTGGTTGATATTTCTTTAGAAAAGAAAAAAGCAATATCAACCACATCTATTCCCATTAAAGGTAGGGTGATTATCTTGGGATGAAGAAACTAAGAAAGTAGGATGATTAAAAGGGAGACAAATGAAGTAGTTCTGTAATTCTCTTTTATTTTGTACTACCTATATCTTAGAGTATACATCTAATTTGACTTTTCTTGAGTCAAACTGCACAAACCATGATCATCATTTAAATTAAAATTGTATCATATATTAGTACAAAAATAATTTCATTAAATTTATCTTGTGAATAACTCTCAGAAATTTATTTTATTGTTTTAATATGTAATCTAGATTTAAAATTATTGATGATTAAAGTTTATGTAGTTGGACTTAAAAAGAGTCAAATTGAAAATTGGATGAATACTCGGTATTATTTATTACTTCGTCCCACTCAAAAAATTGATAGGGGAGCAGGGGGGTTAGGGTGGGAGTTAGGGGAGGGGGGGGGG